GGAAGTAGCTGCTTAGCCTTTTAGGATAATAAAAAAATACGCGTATTTGCACATTATATCGAAGAAAAAAATGACAAAACTGTTGTGCAATCTACACTGGAGCAAGCTTCCCTCATGTTTTCGTATTTCGCGAAATTTCCCGATGCGTACGTATACGTACAGGGACCTACCGGATAGTGGGCCATGGCCTTCGTCACAATCTCATCAACTTACTCTAACAGGACATTATGTCGATGATCACGTCCGACCGACGTTGTAAATAAAATGCGAACCGCCAGCGATCGAATCAAGATACACGAAGTGAATTATTATTTACTTAGGCCACGCTACCACAGCATTGCCTATTTAACCGACACATGTTAAACGACCTATCGTAACGACACACGTGAAATTAAGTTTCACTATCAAATGCTGAATACACAGCGATATCCGAAACTGTATTATATATAAAATCTGTTTACTCTAAAAAACTACCACGCCAGCCGGATTTTCTACCGAATGACGCCTTGAATATTATGGCATTATGATGAGTGGCGTGTGTAACATCAAACACGCCGAATATTGCCCATCGCTGTGGGGCACGTAATCAAAATTTCCAAGACATCCCTCGTGGATGCGAGCAAATTAGTATGCTGTTTTGCTGATTTCAGCTACACCAAAAATTCGTGTCGTAATTGGCGTTAATTGCAGAGTCGCGGCGGAGCCTCGCGTATATAATGAAGGTCCTAGTAGAGTGCATATAGGTGTCCCAGCAAAGGCTACCTTGTATTCTGTAGCCTTACAGCAAGACCTTCACCTATCACATTCTAGCAACATAATCAATGTTAGCAAGCTTATATTTCAACCCTGCTCGTTGGATACATTTATAAGCAGTAAAGATGTAACATTAAGGGCACCGAATAAACTATAAACTCACGTGCTACGGAATGCGAGCGGGAATGATGGTGGTCAGGATGACAGTGTTTGATTCAATTGGTTTGAGTTCGCATACCATACCATACCATACCATACCATATCATACCATAACATACCTTACCACACCATACCATACGTTTTCAAAAAGATTACACGATGTTGCCACCTGACTCAGAGGAAGGCACTGTTGCCTGACTGTATTAATCTCCCTTTTAATTGGATCCTCTGCACGCAGCATTGGACCATGTATCACATTGAACTATCCAGAAGAAGAATGCGTTGCATTGTTTCGCGACGAAAACGTAAACTCATAAATGAATGGCTTCGGAATAGCTCATGAATATTTAAAATAGCTTCAAATTCAGAATAACAGAAAGAGAAAAGGACAGTAATTGCTCACATAATCCACCTCAGAAACAGAGACACGGAAGTAACAAAAGTAGCCGCAGTCGCAGTTAGTATACTACTACTATTACTACAAGTAATACTACTAGTATTGCTACTACTCGTACTACTAGCACTATTACTACTTGCTCCTCCTTCTCCTACCCCCTCCTCCTCCTCCTCCTCCTCCTACTACTACTACTACTACTACTACTATTACGACTACTACTACTACTACTACTACTACTAGTAGTAGTAGTAAAAGAAAAACAAGACTTGAAAACGCGCACATGCATTCGCGGCTTCCAACAACGATTTTCAACAAAAACATTGAACGATGTAGTTCGCTGTATTACATCAGTCCTATCTGCATGGACTCCAGGATTTCGGGTGTGGCAATATGTTTCTTCACTATTACTTCAATCTTCAATATCGCACTATATGACGCAGAATTGACAATGCGACATAGGCTCAAGAACGGCTGACACTCGGAACTTATAGTGCATAATCGAATCAATCACGAGTCGTATAGGGACTTTCTGATGCGTCATTTTTTCTGTGTTCGTGTTAATGTTTTTCTCGGAAAAGTATTCGCATATCTTGAAGCACTGGCATTACTGGGATAGGGGAGGGTGCGGACTTCGGCCCCCTTTCCACCCGGAAAGTTTCTTTTTTTTTACTTTTGCACACACACGCGGGAGTCCTCATCTGTCTCTTCCTGTGTGTCGTGTTTCGTTGTGCTCTCACGATGGTTTGTATGTCAAAATACACATACATGACTATTAACCCCACCCCTCTCGGATTAAAGGAGGTTTGTGGCTACGCCCATCCCTTTACGGTGATAGCTCTGACACGTCCACTCCGTGATAGTCAACGCTCCTGACATTTTTTCCTCTCCCAAAGAGAGAGGTGGCGTTACTGAGACTGAGAGAGAAGTAACTCCCTCCCACTTGGAACTCCTGTCGCCATCTGTGGAACGCGTCGCCAACCGTGTTTTTCATTCCTCTCTCTCCTCTCTCTCTCACACACAGCTGGTTCTTCCGCAGCGCGCGGCGCGAAGTACGAATCGAAAAAAAAAAAAAAAAGATTGTTCAAAAATTGTTGCTCCAACGGGAGCGTTGCTAGATTGCTCTCCATTTCGAAGACGCATTGCGCCGCTAGTTGCTCTCGGAGTGTTTTTCGACGGCAGTGGAACTCCATTCGGGCCGAGTGGCGAGCATGGCAGCAATCGCTCCACAGCGTAGAGGGCAGTGGAGAGGGACGAAATTGAGACGCCGCCGACGAAGCACGGCTGGCAGAGGGCGTGTGTTGTGATGAGCGCGCGTTATGACAAATGGAGGCCAACGCGGTGTGGAGGAGGAGAAAGAGGGAGTAGAAGCGGAGGGGAACACTGTTTACATTCGTACATATAATTGAGGAGATTGAGGAGAACGCGAGCGTTCTCGACAGATAGTGGGGTGGGGGGCCTCTCTCGCCGAGCGCGATGCAACGACCCCTGCCCTGCATGCTCGCCATCTGCTGCGCTGCCGAAAGACGAAAAGACGTTTCAAAACTGTTGCGCATCGGAAGCGCCATTTTGAACCGATTCTTAGCTTTAGATGGTGTAGATATAATAAGACAACTATGTGAGTGAGAATCAAGACGAAGTGAGGAAGTTAAAAAAATATGTGTGTTTTGTGGTGTGTTGAGGTGTTACGTCCTGCCGTTCAGGCACCGGAGACTCGGAAAAACGATGTCGAGGCAGCTTGAAGATACCGAAGGAAACTTGAGGTTTATTTACAATATTTACAGAGCAAGCAATTTGCTACGTGACGAACATCTAGCGAGGACAGGCGAAGATTTCATGCCCACTCAGCCCACAGGGGCTGACTTTAAAAACTAGTCCATTTTCCTAGTCCCTTTTCCCCTCTTCCTTAGATGGGGGAATACTTCATACCATTGTCCAACCACCGTAGACACATCACTTTCGACGGCGGCGCCCCCACCGGCCCTGGGCAGCGTCTTTGACCGGGCCGTAGCTACCACACATTTCCTCTGGCGCCAGGTTGTCTCTTCCTTGGGGTGAATGCCGCTGGGTGTTGGGCCACACGTTCGCACTGCCGGGAGCATGAAAAGGAAACCACCACTCGCACCGCGCAATTAGCAGGCCCGGTGGTCATCTGCAGCGATGCCTCTCTCGTCAAGGACGGTAAAGTGGCTGGGACCCATTGCAGTAGTTTTTGTCGAACCCCTTTCCCCGTCGCACAGCACGGCGCTTTATCTTGGCAGGGTCGAGATGACAATAGCCATATTTGGATGGTCATCCGCAGGCCCGCGCTCTCCGCCGTATTTCTCGCAAAAAAAAAAAAGGACACCGTCTCTTTCTTGACTCGGGCACCGATCGCAACAGTTGCTGGGGAAGACGTGAAGATTTCTGAGTACTTTGTATCTTTATTGGAGTACATGTATCGATGCACATTTTTATTACCTGTATTTTCGGTAAAACAAAGGTGTCAAGTGTCTGCAGATAAGAGATATCCCATTGCCAAAATGCTCGATTTTTCGCAAAGGCTTACAATTTTGTGTTATTTTTTTTTTTCGTTTTAAGAAACTTCAACGCCTGTATATTGCCTTATTTTCTTGTGGTTATACAAGATTTCTTGTGGTTGTACAGATTTTCTTGTGGTTGTGCAAACTTCCACGCCGGTATTTTTTTTGCTCTGAAGCCTGCTTTCAGGCATAATAATACCAGGTGTCAAAGATTCGTCATTTCTCGACGAGGGTCCTTGCCGCGGTTAGTATGCGCGAACGCCTTTAAAAATGTAAACCTTTTTTCTTTGTTTTTCTGCGACTTATATTATTCACATTCACATTTCATGCGAAAAGATTCCAGTGCGCTGGCATCGTCGGGAGCTTCTCACACAGCGACGAAACGGCGTGTTCAAATGGATCGCTTCTTCCGCGCGGTAACCGCGCCTGAGAGCGCTTGCCTTCTGCAGTTGCCGACAGGCGGCGACACAGAACCCTGCGAGAACTGCTTTTGCTCCAGGGGATTTTTTTCTAGACGATTGTAAGCTCAGCTCTGCAACTTAGCATCAAAATTGAATGATTTGCCTAGTATTTACGAAGCTCAGTCTTTATATACTGTGCCAATAACTGAGACACTTGTAAAATTATTGAAAAACGAAAGAAAAAAAGACAGGACGCTACAATGCGATCCAGTACGGGCCCTTCTGCGACATTTGAGTAAGGTGTACCGTGAACTCTGTGTATTTATCTCCAGAGAGAGAGGAAAGCAAAGGAAAGGCAGGCGGGTTAACCAGGTTGCATCCGGTTTGCTACCCCACACAGGGAAAGGGGAGAGGAAAGGAAAAAGTCAGAGAAGGAAAGACGGAAATGGAGGTAAGGTTATGCGCTAGCACGCAGCCGCATGAACCGCGAATGCCAAGACGGTCGTAAAACTGCGAACTGTCACACAGTACAGATCGATTTCTACTGTATTGGATGAAGTGCACTGCAATCCACGATGCTAAAGAAGGCTCGCAAGGACTGGCTTCGAGGTATCCGGAACTTGCAGTGCGTTTCGAGCTGATGGAGTTCGTCAGTCCAGTAAGGAGTCTAAGGTTTTGTACAAATATGCACGTGGTCACGAACGTGTCTAGTAGCACAAAACAGTGAAAAAAAAAGAGAAAAAAAAAAAAACTCGCCGTGATTCTACTCACCTTCCTCCCAATCCCGGGAAGTGGGGAAACACGGGCGGAAACTGCGGTATCTGCGCCGGTGCGTGGTGGATGGGTCCTGCAGAAAGAGCGGGGAGATTACGGCGCGGAATTTGAAAATGAAACTTCAACCTTAATTATTTTCGCTTATGAACTTATCAGAGCGAAATGAACTTAATGAACTTATCAGAGCGAAACTTACGACATTAGAGTTATCAGAGTGCAGTTTATCGATCTAAAACTACTCATTGTTTCTCTTTCGTGCCCCTTCAACAAGTAAATCACCAAGTGATTCGCCTCGCGTATATGAGAGAGAACACAGGCTTTAATAAAAAGCTGGAGATGTTTGCCTGGCTATTTGGCTGATATGGTACTCAAAGTGCTCGGGGATGATTATGACATAAACACTAATTATCACATAACAAGGTCGACTATTGGGCTAGTTGGTAAAGTTCCACTGAGATTGAAGAAGCACAAGCAAAAAAAACCGCGGACGAAGAAGTACATACAACGATTTGTTTGCATCTGTTGCCCATAATTGAATCAAACTATGGCAAACAGCCGGTGCTTTTTTCTGGTATTTACCTTTGGCACTTACTACCTAAGTTCACTAAAAGCTGCCGCAATATAACACCATTTAGAGTTCAATTAAACATCTTTCCTAACAATTCATGGATCCACCTCCACATTCATTTACATAGTCGAGACAACGCGACGTCAAAAGTGGTCACAGTTGATATCGTAATAATGCAAACAAGAGAGAAGTTTAGGCCGAGACGAAGGCTTGCATTAAAGAACAGTCGAACAGAAATTGTCAGTGAAGCCGCCGTGTTGTTGAGAGGACTTTCTCTTTGGCAGAACCTATCTTTCCTGCAAGCATTTGTGTGCACACGTTTTGAGCGCTCTCCGTCAAGCTCGTCAGAGAAGGAGACCAGGGCTAAGCTTGTGACCTTCTTCACCGCGCAAAAAGGTTGCTGTTTGCCCCCTCTACACTCTAAGTTGACGGAACGTGCGTCGAATAAACACGCTGGTAAGAAAGGCCATTCTTGCTTGATGCAGACATTTATTTTTCCTGGTAATGACGTCATTGCGTGGGGATTTGCGCATATACCAAGCTGATGAAACGATCACGATAGCACTAACATGAGATCAAAGTGTTGTTACTTGCACAATGGTCTTGATTCTTAAGGAAATGCGCATTTAAATGTCGGGATAGTTAACGGAACACCATTACGCGGATGATTTCGCTCTTTTTAATAGGTGAGCGAAAGGTGTCTAGGAAAATGGTTCAACAATTAATAGTTCGTCGTACTCTACTATGAAGAAGCATTAGGCCGCCCCTAACTAAAATTTCCAACAGGTCACGCCCCGACTGCTGTTTAGACATCAATGGTTAACGAATGTGAGCACTAGGTACTCTACCAAGGGAGAGCATAAAGCCGTCCCCTGGGCCTAACATTGGATGAGGCCGCGCGCACTGCAGCATTCTTAATGCTGATGGAGCCCACATGGACTAGCAGCGTACATCAATGCCACAATAATAAGCGACCACCTCAAACGGTCTGCTGCCATCTGAAGCTATTGTCGATTTTTAGCCAAGCTTTACAGCTGCTGACACTCGCGAGTAGCCAAAATTAAGAAAAAAAAAGATCAAACGCAGGAATCTTTTAACCGCAGATGTTTTATACAGACAAAATATGATAGTGGTTGTCATATTTTTGCCACCAGCTCAAAATCTCGAGTTCTCAACGGAAATAAATAAAAAAACGCCACCCGCATCTTCCCATGGGGGGAACTCTGGTAATTGCGTCGCAGAGTGGTGGGTGTATCACGTGAATACTACAGAACTGGGTATAGTTTGGGAACGAATAATTGTTATTTCGTCTTTATTATTCTTATTCATTGAATGAAGGAGAAGCGTTGCCTACAACAAGTGGTGGGACGCTGATGTTGCATTATGCCCACTACTGTTTGAAAATGCTGTTGCTTCAATCGCATCTACTTTAGTCAGGCAAAGCGTCAAGTCAAGCTAAAGCCAGGTAACGACACCCTTGACTGAATTCCGAACGCGCGATCCAGTGCCTAAGTATACGGGGTGCCCAGCGAACGGTTGTGCAGCGCGAGCAGTCGGTTTTTACTAGCAGAGGCTGCCTGCGTCAGCCTTGTTAGGCGAGAAGAGGCAGGGGGTGGGGTGGGGGGTGGAGCGACAGGTAGTACGAGACGCGAGCATGCGCAGTGGGGGTGTCGACGGCACCGCCGACGCCAGATTTGCGACTATGTGCGACTAAAAACGCTCTCTTTGACTCACGTGTGTAACGCCGTATGGCAGTTTGTACTAACATGTCGCAACGAGTTCCCCTCGCCACAGGTGCTGGAGCGGTGCCAAGTAGGTCAGTAGCAGCTGCGTGTTGACGTGACGCTCCACTCGTACGCTTCCCTCGCAGGTGCGCGCTGACATCACTCTCTATCACCCGAGCAGCTGCCAGCTGCTCCTCCCGCCCCAAACACACACTTCTCTTTCGCTTCACCCTCTCCACCAGCCGCAACGCTCAACTGCACGTCGAGTGGAAACACACTTTCGGCTCATCTATCTGCGATGAAAATTACACAAAACCCAACCCACTTCCCATGTTTCTGCCTTTCAAACAAACATTTAATCGAGTAAACGCTACACTGAGATTCGGTTCAAATCATTCTTCCGACACCCACGTCGACGCCCGTTTCGACCGGGTCAACGCCGTGCGCACCACTGCTGCTTCGCATACCATCAGAGTTCCCTCCAGGGAGATGGTCCATTTATAGGTTTTTTGAGGGGCGAAGCTCCTTACGCCGTGCGTCGTATGTCCTGTGTCGTCGTAATCGTTGTAGTAGCCAGTTACATTGCATTGCATGTCAATGAAAACGGTGTCACAGCATACCCACGGGGTGAATGATGATGAGCGGGGTGAAGCGTCTGTGCGTCCGTCCGTCCGCCCCACTCGTTATCATTGACCGCGTGAATATGCTGTGATTGTCTGTCTTCATTATTCTGATGTTGGGCTGTGCCCCACTACTTGTTGAAATAGTGTTGCTTTCATCGCATATACTCGAGCCAAACAAAGCGTCAAGCCAAAGCCAAGTAAGTGCGACCGTGACTGAAATTCCGAACGCGCGATCCAGTGCCTACGTATACGAGTTGGCCAGTGAACGAATGTGCTACGTGATCAGTCTGTTTTTTTTTACTAGCAGACGCTACCTGCATCAGTCTTGCAAGGCGAGAGGGGGGGAGGGGAGCGACAGTTGGCACGAGACGGGAGCGTGCGACATGAGAGGCGAAATGCGAGCATGCTCAGTGGGGCTGTGGACGGCGCCACCGACGCCAGATCCGCGACATCGTGCGGCTGAGAAATGATCGGCATCTAAAAATTACACCGCCTCTCGCTAAAGTGGCAATTAGGCGACGCGAAGCAGCTTGAGGGGCGCAAATCGTATTTGCACACCACGGCTCTCAGACAGCCACTTACGCTGGGTAGAACGCGCTAGCGTGCCAGTGCGTTCTGATCAGGATACAACGCGTTGGTTCATCGCGCGTCCGCAGAATCTCGTTCCCCGACGCTATCACATATTGCTGAGAGAGTGTAAGGGGGATATGTCTCAGCATCTTAAGGCCTGGCGACACGTACCCGTTGCAGTGCTTCAGCGCGTGTCTCTTCGACGCGGCGCCGAGCCCTCTCCCATATAGAGGGAAAGGGCGCGCAGCATGGGGTAGTCATGCTTCCACAGTCTCCAAAGGGAGTGGGCGCGGCCCTGTGTTAAAAAGCCACGCGCTGACGCGCTGCAACGGATCCATATGGTCAGGCCATACTCAGCCACTTACGCATGTCCAAACGCGCTAGCGCACGCTAGCGCGTTCCGACACGGCCTCTTACCCAGAACTTTACACAGGGCCGAACGCGCTAGCGCGTTCTGACAGTGCTTGGCCTAGCTGTCGCGCATGCGGAGTAAGGTTGGCCACGGACACCAGATAGAGCTCGACTCTAAGCTACTCCGCACCTAAAATTGTCAGCCGATCCACGAAGTCAATAGTGATGATAGAACGAAGCTAGCTCTTTAGGTCTATGCTGTCTACATTGATGTCGCCGACTAGTATAAAGGAGAGACATATGCACGGACGGGCGAACGAACTGAATGAGAGACATACAGATGCACGGACAGAGTACAGTATGTTTTAAACCACGCGTTGAGCGCCAAATGTGTGCGCCCCGCCGCGGCGGTCTAGTGGCTAAGGTACTCGGCTGCTAACCCGAAGGTCGCGGGTTCCATTCCCGGCTGCGGCGGCTGCATTTCCGATGGAGGCGGAAATGTCGTAGGCCCGTCTACTCAGATTTGGGTGCACGTTAAAGAACCCCAGGTGGTCTAAATTTCCGGAGTCCTCCACTACGGCATCTCTCATAATCAAATGGTGGTTTTGGGACGTTAAACCCCACATATCAATCATCAATCAATCGAGCGCCAAATGTATAGGGGTTTCGAGGCCGCTCGGACCAGAACCACGCAGGGAAAATGCGGAGCTAGACCAGGAACCTTGTCTTTTTTTTTCTCTAAGCCTCGTTTGCAACTGCCCGCTGCCAGCGGCTGCCTCGTGCCCCGAGCGTACCCGTGATCGTCATTGTCCTCTCTTTTCTGTGATCGGCCAGCTCACGGCTCCCATAACCTAGATGTGCGCTATGAACGCTCTACGTATGTGACATCTGTGTTTCGGGTCCGACGGGAAGCCACGAACAGAGAGCATCAACGGACATAGTGAGAAGCTAAGGCACTTCGCTCCTAAGGGACGGAGGGTGTTAGCACCCTGGCTCAGTTTGCCTTCACCGGGATGCGAAGGCAAGCTAGCGACTGAGAAAGCATATCGTGTGTGTGTGTGTGTGTGTGTGTGTGTGTGTGTGTCTAGATATTGCTATCGCGTTCTACCATTAGGGACAAAGCTAAATTGTACATCAATTGTTTTTTCGGCGTCTCAGATGTGAGCGCAGATGCGGCGCCATCTCGTCTCTCGTCAGCATTCACGTATTTGTCCGGTCGTGTAATGCGAAGACACTC